CGCCTTTTACGTCATATAGGCGGGTAGTTTCCTAACCATCGTTTCTGGAGAGTTACACCAGTACTAGACTACCTTCCTCCGTGCAGTAACAATGTTTAATGAAAAAAAAAAAAAAACAGCATATAGACAACAGAAAAACAGCATATAATGTCAACAACAAAACATAACATAGCAGCAGAATATACTGACTAGAAGGCAAAATTTGACTAGACAAGAATTTTGCATTTACAAGAAAGACATGCTATGCTGATGACCTCAAACATTAAAATTAGCAACAAAAAGTATAACAAGATAAACAAATGAGCCGCTTACTGTAGTTCTGACCCTTATCACATTCTAAAAATACCTTGATACATATTGACTTTCAATCAGTGGAATAACTTATCTGCAGATGAAGTAAAGGTTTGAAAATTTAAAATAAAAGTCATTTATTTTTATGCTTTTGAGTGTATTACTGATGTATCCGTGAAAAATATATTTGATAATTTCACAGTGAAATGATTAAAATTTCAAACTTTTCTATGACGAGACTACTTTTTAAAGATTTTATCATCATTCAAATTTTTTGAATTCAATAAATAATATCATGGCTATTCAACGTTGATTGTCAAACTTATTTTTCAGCCCAATACTTCCTGTATTTATGAGAAATTGGACTTAAATTCAACTAAAATTGATGTTAACAGTGGTGAAAACAGATTTAATATTAACGTTAATATTGAGGAAATTTCATTAGCATAAAATAAAAAGACACTTTATTGTTTTTTTGTGTAAGATGTAATTTTATATCATTGAAGGAACTTTAAAAACAGTGTTCTCACGAGCGCATAGCCACTCATGAGAATACTGTTTTTAAAGCTCTCTTGATGATATAAAATTTCATCTTACACACAAACAAACAAGTATCCTCTATAAATTTGCATTTTTAAATTAAAAACATGTCTAGTCACTTCCTTCATTTTCTTCAGGTAAGGTCTCTGACACTTTGTTTCTTGCTTTCCTTCCCCCATCGCTGTCCCGCGCCCTAGCCAGCCACTTTGAAACCTCTATTTCAACATCCTTCCTCGTTGCAGCCTTTGTCGGCAAGTTCCTTTAGACACATTCTACAAAACAAGCATTCTTATCCTTAAAGAATGAAATGAAGTGAAATGAAGGTATTGAAACCATTCAAAGGTCATAAGCCACCTTGTAGCATTTTGAGCAGTATAAATTGGAATATAAACTAATTCTGGTATGTTTTACCAATATAGATGTTTGTTTTCCTGGTTTTTACATAGCTTTTTAACAATATTTCTGTGATATCGCTGCAGTCAGTTGTAAGCTGAGATCATCTTATCGGTGTATCAGTAAAGAATGTTAAGGTAAGCAAATAAACTTGCTTTACAGGAAGGTGATTTCTGTTTATATTATGCATCACAACACAATGCATGGGATCAAAACCACAACAGCATGTAAAACATTCTCTCTTATTAATTTCCATAAAAGCTAGTCAAGCATTTTCCTTCATTAAAAGCAATACCCGAAGACACAATAACAAGATCTTGGATAATATTCTATTTTTGAAGACACCACTTTTGCAAATTTGTAAAAAAATCACTTACTATACAATACATTTCAGTATCTAGAGGCCCACAAACTTTTTCTTCCCCTTCAGCCACTTCATATTGTACATTCTTGCCAGTTCATTTGACATGGTTTCTTTCATCAAGGGGTCAACAGTTTCCCGTACATCTGCCATACCAAACATTGAGAGGAACCGCACCTTAAATAAAGCAGAACATAAACTTTTTTTAAATGTTAATTTTAACACTACTAAGTGATGGGCTGCAAGTCACCAAATGACAAATAATTGTCAACTGGACCTCAAAAACATGATCTGCCAAGAAAACTGTTTGGATTGACAAATTAAAAAGATCTTTTCCTCATATATTTACAGCCTAGGACAACACCTTAGTGACTTGTGCCTTTATGTTTGTCCCCTTCACCGAGTGTTATGGGGCACATTATCATTGTTTTTTTTTATACAAGAGTTTATTCAGTATCAACAGAATAATTTTTGATAATATAATAACAGCTCAATTCCTGGATTTTGTGGGTACTAGTCATTTTCCTGGTATTTTGAAACAGGGCTGGGAATCAAAACTGCGTCGTATCCTACAAAATGTAAACAAACGCCGCCATCTTGGAACGAAAAATGTATGTTTTTGTTAATAACTCTTTTTGTTGGATATGACTGAAAACCAGATATATGTATGTAACACGCTACACTATTTTCCGCTTTGTTCGGTATATGTTGCTTAGACAACTATTTTGTAAAACAAAAGATATAGCGAACTTGCAACTCGAAGCGGAGCAGAATTTTTATGAAAATGTGTGGATACGACGCAGTTCATATTGCTTTATCTCTCGTTTTTTCCTTCAAATAAATTATATACTCGTTTTCAGAGTTCACCATAAACTTCAAAACATAATTTTGCATCATTTACTAAATTTTCATGAAAAAGAGATGTTTATTTTCCAAGAAAATAATGATTTTTACGAAATGATACGACGCAGTTGAAAATAAAATATGATACGACGCAGTTGTATTTTCATTGCAGGCTGCATATTGGTTTTAAACTGTTTAAATTATGTGCTAGGTATGCTAATAACGTCCAACAACAATTCTTGTTTTCAACATTTATTTAGTCAAAAGCAGAGGTCACTCATTGGTTCCATAAAAATGGAAATGTAATACAATTATATTAAGGCTGCATTGTTCGGTCGCATTTAAGTACCCATCATAAGCATCTACAAATTCCGAAAAGCTGTATCAAATGTAATACGTGATCGCACTCCCATATGTCAACGTGTTCCAGTGTTGCCTTAGCATGCTTCTAAAATTGTTCCCGTGAGTTCGAAATGGGAGTGATTACTATTTCAGATACAAAATTCAATATTCCAGTGTAACCACTCCTGGACCCTGTTCTAGTATTAATCAGGAATGACCTTGTTTAAAAAAAGAGAAAGAATTACAAATTTTGAAAAGGTCTCTTGCTATCGGAAGAGAGCTATGCGCAAATTGCATGCCTACCTTTGTTACTTGTAATTAGCAATAATTTTCGTCAATTCCGTTATTATATAGATCTTTTACGTGCCGATTTTATTGTATTCATTTTCTTATAATAATCGGTGAGAACAGATGAGCTTATAATTTGAAACTGAACATTAAATTTTTGAAATTGTGTTATAAATGGCTAAGCTACAAGATATTTTTGCAAGTAGGTTATGCGTTCCGTTTAGTCATTTTATGTTCAGCGCCGCTGATTTTGTCGTATTGCATTTCTTTATCGCCGATGAGGAAAGGTCTACGGAATGTATTTTCTATATTTGAACTTAAGTATCATTCTTCTCCATTAAAAAACTTTAAATTTTCAAAATCGAGTTACATATGCTACAACTACAGATTATTTTGTTAAGAAGGTGTTCGTTTTGCAAAGGTATTTTACGCTGTGCACTGATAAATTTGATACAGATATAGGCAGACCTGATCTTTCAACAGTATTGAAGAAGTTTTCACAATATTGAACAGAAAATTTAGGTCAGATTATCGCATCGAATTTTCAACAGACTAGAAACATGACATCTTAACATACCTTCATACTAAAGTGTGATTTTTATTTGATAATGAATTGCCTGAAAACTTAAACAAAGGTTTTCAGAAAATGACTTCCCCTGTTTACATTGAAATTTCTCTGCTAGTCATACCGAAATAAGGAATTTAAATGTTATTCTCTTAATAATTAATTGAAATATTTATAATCTTAAAACTTCACGCCAGAAGTTTATGAAAAAAGCTGCTTATTTGTACAGCTGACGTTAACAAGTTTTGTTGAAAAACCAAATCAGACAGGTGTGTCCGACCGTGGCCGAGCTGTTTATGTTTATTGAATTCAAATCACTTGAATTGACCTGCTATGAATTCGAAAACTACCAGGGACTTTTTTTTCTTTCGTGTGGAAAACCATCAAGCTAGTTTCAAAATGTCGATGGTTCTCTGCAGGTGCAACATTTTGCCTGAAATAATGCACAAAGGCGCACCTGAGGTCCTTGCCCCTAGTAAAGCTAATGTGTAGAGTGAAAGTTTGAAAACAAACCACAAAAAAGCAGTCATTACCCAGAACATGCAGAACCACAGTTAAGTTAGAGCGTAGCTAGCCAACACGAATTCAATTTAATAGATATCTATTTTTTTTTTTTTGCGAAAAAGAATTAGGGATAATATTGAACATGCAGGAAAATATAAGAAATTATTTCAGATATTATGATCAATTAGATAAAATGTTAATGTTTAACTGAAAAGTAGCAATGTAAACTTTCAAATTAAATGTTATATTGGACATGATACAATTTTTTCAAAATAATCAAAAGCATCAGAACATTGCTATACACCGCAAATGATCTGGGTTTTCTATCTAGCGAAAGTGATTATTCCATAAGATAGAAATTTTTTGCCAAAATTATACCTGTTGAAAAGACTGCCAAAAAATACAACTGTGTCGTATCATATTTTATTTTCAACTGCGTCGTATCATTTCGTAAAAATCATTATTTTCTTGGAAAATAAACATCTCTTTTTAATGAAATTTTTGTAAATGATGCAAAATTATATTTCGAAGTTTATGGTGAACTCTTAAACAAAAACATAATTGATTTGAAGGAAAAAACGAGAGACAAAGCAATATGAACTGCGTCGTATCCACACATTTTCATAAAAATTCTGCCCCGCTTCGAGATGCAAGTTCGCTATAACTTTTGTTTTACAAAATAGTTGTGCAAGCAACATATACCGAACGAAGTGGAAAATAGTGTAGAGTGTTAATACATATATCTAGTTTTCAGTCATTTCCAACAAAAAGAGTTATAAACAAAAACATACGTTTTTCGTTCCAAGATGGCGGCGTGTGTTTACATTTTGTAGGATACGACGCAGTGTTGATTCCCAGCCCTGTTGAAAGCTGCCAGCATTTTGATTAATGAATTGACTGTCTTGTCCTAATTAATAATTAATGTTGAAAACGAGGCCAACTGCCCATGTCTTGTGCTCATGGCTATTATAGCATATATAAATAACATAACTGTGTCAATATGAATCAAAAAATTAAAACATGCCAGTTTTTAATTCTGAAATTAATGCAGCAAAGTGTTTGTCCACTGTGCAATATTTTCCAACATTGATATAGCAGAATGATTATACATTATCATCAAGTGCTCACCACAGACCATTATGTTATTTCGCTTTTAGGCCAGTGGATATGGGGTATACTTTTTCAGTTACTAATGGAGCAACATACATGACTAACACTATGCTTAACACAGATGAGAGCATTGTCTGATCTCCCAGAAGCTCATCGAATGCTTCCATCTGCTCAGGATAACGAATAGGGAATGAGATATATTTCGGAAGTTGCAGCGGTTGTCATCTGCTGCTGACCTTAACAGCATTCGCTGCACCATCCTCTTAATTTCACGATTCTTCTCTCGCATTGTCTCCAAGACTCGGAGAATCTGTGTAACAGCAGCTGAAAAAAAGGATTCATAATTCTAGGCCATATACTTTTAGAGCTATGTGAATTACAAATGAGCCATGTCACGACAAAACCAACATAATGCGTTTGCGATCAGCATGGATCCAGACCAGCCTGCGCATCCATGCAGTCTGATCAGGATCCATGCTGTTCGCTTACAAACCCTATAACAAGTAGAGAAACTGATAGCGAACAGCATGGATCCTGATCAGACTGCGCAGATGCGCAGGCTGGTCTGGATCCATGCTGGTCGCAAACCCATTATGTTGGTTTTGTCATGACCCGACTCAAATGAAAAAAATCCAGTATTTTAAATTTTTCCTTGGCTTTAACAGTAATTAACTCTAAAATCTCAAAAGGATTGTTGAGTGTACAAGGTCACAAAATGTGAAAATGATAAGAAATCATGAATTAAACTTAACATATTTTTGAGCCTAGGCATGTCATTTGGTGAAAATAAACATTCTTGACTCTTCCAGGGACCGTTACTTTGGATAACAGTAGTGGGGTCAGGCAAGAATATGCGCACAAATTCACATCATGATAAAGACTAACACAAGTAATCATCAATTTCTTTTTGAATATTTTTTTAAACTAGGGGCGTCACAAGGTGAAACTTTCCATTTTTGGCTGTGTCACTCAATCCAGCTTGTTATAACATTTATTGACTTGTTTTGAGAATATAACATTTAATAAGTATGTACTGTAATAATAAATATATTTATAGCTCCGAAGTTTATACTTACTGGGCCCAATAATCTGCCCACAGAAGGGTGTATCAGAAGCACCTTGTATTGGAGAAGCACTTTGCACATCACTGCTGGCCTCTCGCAATGCCTGTGCAGATAAGCGAGGCGGAGATGAAAGTAGGCTTTGTGACTCTTTGGGCGTTGTTGCTTGGTCAAAAACTTGTGGTGGCCTACTCTCTGTGTCTGTCTCATTCTCATCAGTGCCACTATCCGATTCATACAGCCTTTTTGATGGCCTATTTACAATAAAATTAAAATACATTAATAAGTAATTATAAAATACATAGACATTAAGTGAGTTATTGCGCCAAGTGACAATATGATTATGATCCGTAATCGGCTGGCAAACATGTACTAGTCTATGTTTACGTACCGAATTGTTGTGCCAAAATTTTGTCTACCAAGGATTTTTAGCACGAATGCGTTTGTTTCCCCGATAGATATTTCATGAACGGGAAGGGCTAAAGACTTGGGGTCGGTCCCATTTGGAAGCTTAATACAAACGTGAAAGTGATAAAAGATTTTTTTAATTGTCTGGACAATTGTTTTCACAATGGCCCGGGAAGTGAATCCCTTGCTTGCAGTCTCGAATCTGGAGTTTCTGGCCTTCTCTTAACTTAAAGTATGTTTTTAAAGGGGGGTATAATTTACAATTTTTTTCGGTTTTTGACTTTTTAAAGATGAACACAGGTTTAATTATCTATCGAGTCATATTTTTTCTTCCCAGGTCCGATACTCGTGCCTGTGCAACATAGGGCTTGGTTGGTACTTGGAAAAAATACTTGAATTTGTAATAATAAGTATTTGCATTTAATACGGGGAAGTCAAAGACCGGGCCCGCGAAGCAGGTCCGGGCTTTGGCTTGCCCGGCTATAGACTACACGTGTATATTTAAAAGAAAATAAAAAACAATTAAAAATATATAGAATTCTATACCTATCAATGAAATTTTCAGTGTCAGTCCTAGTCGGGCGCCGCTATTTACAATGAAACTCAATGATAATAGGCGGGGTATTCCGATATTGGAACAAATCTCAACTTTTCGGATCAATAATAATCGTCGAGTGTTCCGAGTGAAAACGGAAGCGGTGCATGTAATACCGAATGACACCTTTAAAACGGAAAGAATGAAAGGACTTCCCCCCGTTTATAGGCTTTGCCTAATTTCATATTATTTTAAAATGCTTATGAATGAAATATTGGTACAAAATGGAAGGGACTTCTAAGGCTAGGAGGGGTCACTGGATTTCAAATGATGGTGTCCCTTTAAAAAAGGATCTCTTAAAATTTAGTCTAGATAGAAACAATATCATTAAAATGTTAGTGTTGACTCCGTCACAGTTAAGTTATTCAACAATAACAACTATACACATCCATAGGTCAGCTAAAGTGCCTAATAGTGGGCGTAAATTCTAGAAAATGTCGCAAATTAAACTGACAAAAACTATCGCGAAATTATCGATACATGGCAAAGGCAAAAACAAAAAATAAATGACGTTTACACTTACCTACACACACAATAAATCTGTAAGGATATAATATGAAAGGTCGTTATACGAAATCGTCGTTAAATGTTCCGAATTGAAATGAAATATTGTTTTTCGTGTACAATTTTACAATTTAACGTTTCAATGCACAATTTGATTTTAAGCGGCAGCGGAAATCACGTCTGCGCATGCTCGAAATAAATTTTTCATCAAATGCTGGTTTTTATAAATTATTTCTGAATTTATAGTCTAAAAACACATTTTTTTATATTTAGATTATAAAAATTAAAACCAATATAAAAACTAAACAACTTAATTTCTCGCACCTGCTCAGGCATGATAATATTTATTGGGTTGCCCGAATGGGACCCATATGGGTCCCTCATGGCTTGTATATATCGAGGGGTGAAAGCGAAAAGGTTCTAAGTGCATTTTCCAAAATTTTACAGGAGAAGCAAAAAACTGTCTCAAACTCAAATATTTGTAAAATAGCAAAAATCCACAACACTTTGATTTTACACATAGAAATGTTTCAGAAACATGTCAATGATAATAAAAATTCTTGGGTCTGAGACATTCTCTTAATCCATTTTCAAGATTATGAAATTTTAAGTTTGACTTTGTTTAAATTAGAAACTTCGTGGTCAATTCCTATGCATCAAAACTCCAAACCGGTGTTAAATAGCCATTCTAACACGACCCGCATTTTTCCCTATTGAACATAGAAGAACAGAAAGTGTGTGTTATTATGCAACAGATGCACAGCTTGACGTTCTATATTTAGACATGTTACGTAATCATTATACACGTGACGTAACCACTAAAAAGCTGACGCGCTGAAAATAAGTACGGAAACAAATCAGGCGCAATTTTGCTTAACTATCAAGTAAGGCAACATTTATTTGTTGATGTCGTTCTAGAATCGAAATAATATATCCAAATCAGTGATTTTATCGCTTGATAACATCACGGTTTGTCGTTCGGATGCGCATCATTATATCACTCGGGCTACGCCCTCGTGATATAATTCCTCGCATCCGAACTCCAAACAATGATGTTATTGAGCGATAAAATCACTGTTTGGGATACATTATTTCTTAAATAAACACCGCTTAAAGGCCGATATTATTTCTTAATCATTACACACATGTTGTGTGACATGGTACATAACTCTAGCATTACTACTTCCAGAATTATTCCCCCTTGAAATTTGAATTTATGTTAACAAATGTTATTTTCTTTTTACTATAACTTCTTGTCAAATGGATAAGAGTTATAAAACGCAAGCTCCTGTATTCGCAGAATTATCCCCATTTAATTTTTTTGAAAAGTCACTTATAAATTGATTTTTTTTAGTATTATCTTTGTTGTTATAAATGGTATCTACTCTAGACTTAAGATAAATAATTGTTCTTTTTGTCATTACTCACATTATGCATGACAAGGTTCATAAAACTCTAGCTTTTTTTTTTTCAAGAGTTATTTCCACTTTGAACTCATAATTTTTCTTTAAAAACTTTAAATTCTTTTTTGCTCTTATCATTTTTGTTTTTGAAGGGGATTGACTTCAGATTTCAAATTGCTGTCTTTCCATTAAAGTAACATTTATTGACAAGATCATTATGTTGTACAAAAAATTTTAGAACAATTGACTGCTTTCTTGATACTGATACAGAAATATATTTATTATCATAATTTGATTTTTCTTTCATATTTTTCGTCTTCCTTACTGCGTCCAGTATTTGATTAGTCGAGCTTTCGCAGTGTCTCCTGTGACAGCTCTTGTTTTTCTTACATTTCTGTAAAATAAAACAGTTACATTCATATTCTTTCATATTTAAAATGGTTACCTTCAATAAGATATTTATTAATGGAAATTCATGTCATTTCATCTACAACTCTTTTCTTACAATATGTATATGCATTTATTTTTAAACAACTTAAATATTATAAGCGGCTAAATGAGGTCATCCCTAGCACATCGTTCCATTCTAATAAATGCGCCAAAATGACATTTTAAAGGGATACTCAGGCAAAATAATGACAAACATATTAAAATGATCTTATGTACTCAAATCACGCTAAAATGACAATTCTTATAGTTTCAGCATGAATTTCTGTTTAAATTCTATATATTTTGGGTTTGAAGCGTAAATATATCTATATGTGTTGAACAAAATTTAAACGCCAATAGAAGCATTGAATTGTTTTAAAACAAGTGGGGTGACTTGAACAAACCCTTGAAGTTACAATAACAGATACTATGGATATTGTATGATTGAAACAAGTCTATGTCATATATTTGACATGTTCTTTAACATTTCCGGAGTTCACTGTGACAACTATTGTGAAATCCTAGCGCTCTAACCTGACCCACGCGGGGTCAAGTTAGGAAATCACCATTTTATTCTTTATGTGGAAAAAGTTTTGTTCCTTTGACTGTCTAATATATTCATTTTGAGGGCATTTACAGAATAATGAATGAAAAATTCAAAACTAAGAAATGAAAATTTTGCCTGTGTCTCCCTTTAACGCTGTTCATTAATAAAATGCGCTAAAATGAAGCAACTCATCTGGCATCCCCATGCTGTACAGTTATTTAGAATATGAGTCTGATTCTAATTTTGATAGGGAAAATCCAATTCAGCCAGTGAATATGATACTTCACCCAGTGAATATGATTTTATTATTTGTTCTGATTACCACTGTTTGAACCAATAAAATTAATATTAACAAGCTATTTTAGATCATATTAATAGTGAACAATATTTCTCTGAAAAACTTTTGGACTTGTCTAAAACTTCATTCAAAGACCAAGAATATCTTTGCAATAAAGAGTTTCACAAACAGTCCCAGAATATTTTTTGAACTGAAAATATATTTTTAAAAATTGTGCATTACATATGACTTGCACATTTTTTTTCAAATTATATGCATAACACATGAGACACCTCTCATGTAGCAACAATGCATAAAAGAGATATGTCTCAAGGCCATGTTCCCAAAGGCCACCTTCATTAGCATAAGTGTCACCCATACCTAACTTTCATTTACATTGTTTATACATCAAAAGTCCACCCACACCTCCACCCTACATTTACATTTTTTTCAATATCTCCCAAAACCACACTTTAGCCCCACTTTCATTTACGTTACTTATAATTATTTCAAGTTCACACATAGCACTAGGCTATTACACTATATTTTACACAACTCAGTTTCTTGGACTCAACTACCCATAGCCCCCCAATTCATTTGCAATTGCCCAATATATATCAAATCCCAATAATGCTTGTAATTTTGGTGTTTAACCTTTCCTACCCAGATTTCTGATAATCAATTAAACATTCTAAATATTCTCACTATCAATCTGAAAAACTTCAAAAACATCATCCTATTTGTCATCTAAAGTTTGCGGTTCTCACTACTCCTGGCAGAGCCAGGACCACCTCCCGGTAAGTTACTGGGATTGATCCGTTTGGTGAAATTTATTGTTGCTGTTCACCACCCCAGCAGCCTACGGGAAATTCCCAAACTTTTAATTACCCAGGATGCACCCGGACCCCCCTCCAAGGCAGAGCCCCGGGTGAAGCAACAATCGGTGCTTAAACCCCACCGGGATGACGGCGGCAGCCCCCGGGTTGTACCCAGGCAGAGCCCCGGTAAACCCCAGTGGGATTGGGAAAATGCGGGCCAAAAATGATGATGTTGATTAAAAATTTTCAAAAAATGGTTCTCCTATTTAAAAGAATTCATGATGATTTCTTCTGGAGATAAACTTTTGCAAGGGACTGGACAGAAGGGTTTTAACAAACAAGTGCAATTTCATTGCAAATTTGGCCGTATTCTTTTTGAAATGAACCGGGGCTTTTGCCGGGACCCTACACGGGGATCAACTGTTAGCTAAATCGTCAGTTCCTCCATTGCTCTGCCGGCTTTCACAGGGGCTCTGCCGGCATTTACCGGGGCTCTGCTGGCATTTACCGGGGCTCTGCTGGCATTCACCAGGGCTCTACCGTAGCTCTACTGGCTATATAATACCCCGGATCATCCCCAGTTTGAGTCAGCAGAGCTACAGTGCTTCCCTGGTGTAACCCGGTCGTTCCCGGAAGGGCTAAGGATGAAGCAGGCAAAGCTACACCTTCCCGTATCAGCCCGGTGATATTATAATAAATTATTTCATTCCATCCCGGGTCGAATGCCTGATGTTTCCGGATCAATCCCAGACGTTGCAGCAGGAGTTACAGATGTACCCTGGTTGTTCCCCGAATCATCCCTGGACGTCTTACCCGGGCTCCGCCGGGTTTTGAGAACCATATTCTTAAAGCTTCCTCGTCCCCTGGATTTAATACAACCAGCTTAAAGCGTCACTTTCATTAAAGATTTATCAGATTTCTAACCGTCATCTATAGCCCTAACTTCAATATCACCATACAATTTCTCACAGGCACTTAAAACCATTTAAAATAAAGTGTGATCATTACTGGCCTTGTACACTTAGAACTGTTTCCCTTTTAAAAAATTGATAATTTCATGAGTGGAGTTAACTGCGAAACAGTTCTAAGTAATTAAGTTTTCTTTCAAAATCAAAGCATCTACTCTGAAACTAATGAATTTCTTATGTGATATTATTTAATAATATACAATAAAAGGTTAAGCTGCCAAAATTATTTAGATCTCATTTATTTTAATGCAGTTTGAGTTGTTTTTATTTAATCTTGTAGATTTGATACTCAATGAAAGCGAAAAGGTTCTAACTGCCATTTGCAGTTAGAACCTTTTCGCTTTTTTTAAAAAAAAGTTAATTTCAATTAGAACCTTTGGACAACTTTTCATTTCACCCTGTTATAAGTAAACTAAATCTAATATATTTTGACATAAGATGTATCTGGGTGTTTATGTTACAAATATATAAAAAAGTGAATTTTGTAAAAAAAGTGAGTTAGAACCTTTTCGCTTTCACCCTCGATATGTTAATGCTACGATTTTTATAAAA